CTATCGTTTTCATGGATTTCCATTATTTTTAACTTCTGATCGTGGTTCAAATTGGGTTGGAAATTTCTGGACCCATCTATGTAAGTTAGTAGGTATAGAGCAGCGTCTTTCCACGGCGTTTCATCCTGAAACGGATGGAAGTACAGAGAGGATGAATCAGGAAGTGTTGGCATACCTTAGATCTTTTATATCCTACGCTCAGTACGAATGGCCTGATATGCTTCCGTCAGCTATGCTAGCTCTTAATAATAGAGACACAGTCATCGGTCTTAGTCCTTTTTTCCTCACACACGGTTATCACGCAGAACCTATCGAACAAATCCCGCCCCCTTCCAAAAATTCCGATGCACCTGAAAAGAAAGCCAGGGAATTTGTACAGCGAATAACAGATGGACAGGAATATGCACAAGCTTCCATGGCATTTGTCCAACAACGAATGGAATCAGCATCTAATCAAAAGAGGCTTCCGCAAGAGAGGTTTGAAGAGGGAGACCTTGTTTGGTTAAAACTAAAAAATATTGAGACGCCACAACTTAGTAAAAAGCTCTCATGGGTTAACGCAAAATATCGCGTCCTCAAAGTTATATCCCCTCATGTAGTCGAACTTGATGTCCCATCGGGTATACATCCGAGATTTCACGTCGATTTGTTAAAACGAGATCCACAAAACCCCCTTCCGTCTCAAATTATGTTAGACGAGCAACCACCGCCGCTTGTGAATCCTGATGGTGACAATGAGCAATTCGTTGAAAAGATTCTCAGAGCCGAAAAGAGAAAGAAAGGTCGGGGCTTCCGAAGGGAGGTGTTGGTAAAGTGGAGAGGTTTTCAAGAGCCAAACTGGGAATTGCGCCAAGGTCTCGAAGACACGGAGGCTCTTGATATCTTTGAAGAAAGGTACGGTATTGGTGATGAGGTGGGAGAAGATGTCGGGGCAAGAATAGGTGTTACTGGCAAAAGGCAAAAAATTCTTACATCTGAAAAAAAGAAACGAGTAAAAAAAAAAAAAAGTACTGTGAGGAGGGGATAATGTTACAGGCTGCGCCTATCTCCTAGTGACTGTCGCACGGACACTTATCATTATTACGTCATTAGCCTTGCTATCTAGAGAGATGTCCAACTTGGCCATACAAATACAGGGTTGCAACAAATGTGGAAACAAGATATTGTTGCAGCAAGTCTCATATGGAATCATGGGCCGATACGACCCAGTTTCGCTATGACAAGCCCACTCGGAATATCAAGGATATGGTGTAGTAGAATAGATAGTGAGGTTAGCGCATTGGGAGTTGGGACACCTTAAGTAGCCTCCCCTCGGTGGACAGTTCCGAGATGTATGTAGAAAATAGACAGTAATCGGCCACCATTCCTTTACTATATTGTTTTGTTGATCGCCCATCACAAGACCCTTGTAATTCCCACTCCGAGTCTTGCCTGAAGGAATCCAGATTCTGTTTCCCTGCTGTGGCCTTGGAATCCAAATAGTCTCTAAGAGAAATTTAGTTGGTTATTCTGGGCCTGGAGCCTGTAATAATTGCCAAGTCCTTTAGCCTTTCGACCTTCCTCCTCATGCCAGAGCTCCATGTCCCAATATTTTTTCCATGCCTCAAGAATCCATTCCCTAGCCTGATGCTTGATGAATGAGTGAGAGGTATAGAGGTCCCTTTTCATTATTGCCTGGCTTCGACCTCCTGTAGCTAGCTTATCAGTCAGCTCATTTCCTTCTACGCCAATATGAGCTGGACACCATTGGAGATGAACTGTGCATCCTTTACATATCATTCTGATCTGGTGACAGAATTGATTGCCATTGTGCTGGATTCGAAGAATGCTTGCCTGGCTATCAGTAAAAATATGTATATTCTTATTAGCAAAATATTTTTAAACATATCTTGCTGCTTTCATGATACAATAGGTTTCGGCATCTGTGATACCCATGTAGTCACCAAGGTTGTATGAAAAGCATTTCATCTCTCTGGTGAGAGGCAGGCATATCACATAGCCTATGCTGCTTCCAGCCGTCTTTGAGAGTGATGCATCAGTGTATACTATGAAATCATCTAAATGGATATCCTTGATTTGCTGGATGTCCCATTGGGTACGTGAGAGGCTGTATGGCATGGGCACAAGGAGTTTTTGAAGGGGTTTCTTTGCCTAGATGATGCTACAATTTTTTATGTTGCCCAAGTTCATTATCGTCTACGCTTCTCCTTCCAGCGCATATTTGTCTCTCTTTTAGTACTAATTTGTAATTGTCAATCTTTTAGTCAAATCCCTCTTTCATACCACCGATATTGCGCCCAATTTTTTCGCGATATTTTCAACACTTCACTACCAAAAATTAAGTTTGCAATAATGAGAAAGAATCGTATGTAGTGCTAGTGATTGCCAGGATTACGATGCACCAGGGTAGTGATCACTGTATATGAAGGAAAAGATTTCGAGGTGATTCTATGATGAGTAGAAGAAAAATAGAACACGGTATAGAAAGTATTTCTGAATTTTACTCCCAGATAGAGGATAAAAGGATATTCGTGAAACTGTTTGGGGAAAATAAGATGAGAGTCTAGCTACTTCACATATGTATATCAGAAGCGTTTTCTACTTCCGAAATCCTTATAGTTCTGAATGTCAATTATCAGCAGTTCATATTGACTTATCGTTCATCACCCCTAAACCTTCTGCCAACTAATCCCTCGTAAGTTCTCACCTTGACAGCATTATATCATATCAAAATTTAGATCCAGATGAACCAGCTTTATAGAGCTAACTTCCATGTTAAATGTCGTTGTCGCTTGGTTCTGTTGTAATTCTAACAGTCCTGCATCTACTACACTAGTCGTGTACCATTTCGTTTTCGTTTCTGTTTCCGTTATTCGTTTCGTTTAATGAATTCATTTTATTTTCCTGTCTGAGTCTATGACTATGTAGGATATGCTCATCCTCTCTGCCTACGGGCCAAGGATACCTATACCAGTAGTATATCCCCTCCTATGCCTCCCATACAGCTCCCCTCAAACAGCACCGCCCCTCACAAGTCATCATTCCATCATACACTTAGAAGAGCCCTTTGCCCTTCATTATCTCCCCTCTCCAGCCAATGAAAAGATGGACATTTGCGGGTGTATGGCAGCCGGGAAAAATCGCAAAAACCACTGGGTGCGGGGCTCTCCTAATACCTAAATTAGGACTAAATCCGAAGACATAGTGACCCTTCCGAAGCGTTCGAAGAGGCCGGCCAGCTGGGCGCTGCAGACTTGTGTGTACCTCGGGAAATTCACCCTCTGCCTTTCTAGCCTCCTTCCAACTCCATCCCGAAGGTCGTGCTGAAATGTCAGAAAAGTCTTGACAGAGCGTGATTGCTATCTGGTAGCTTAGCCAACCCTCTTTTGTGCCGTCCACGGCTCTGGAGAGAGCCGTTGACTCATCTACAAAAGAAGCTCTCCTGGCTAATTAGCTGGAATATCAGTCTTGGCGCCCACAATTATTCCAGTTGAAAGCCGCTCAAAAATATCGATCCCAGCGTCATCTCAGCCGCCTGTTCTACCTCAAGATGTATAACCCCATTCGTGCATCAGTCCCCCATAAACCAAGACCCCAACTTTGTATATAATGACTTAATTTTCTCCTTGCGGGTATACGTAGCGTCGTAAATTTGTAGTGAGTAATGGCCGGTAATAAATGAGGCAAGCTCCTGTTTGCGATTGGGGTGACGCCTTTATCGGTCGTTGAGGCGAGATGATGTGTGGTTGGAAAGAGGTTAATGACTCAGATGATAATGGTGAGTGCTGCATGATTGAGAAGTCGTCAAATGGAGATATGGATGTGTTTGCTTTCGACTTCGATTCGGATGCGATTCTTCTTGGCTATCCCAGATATGCAGAGCATACTGAGCAATTACACCGGCACCACTGGAAGGTGAAGAATTCGTCTTTACCGGCGACAGTGAAGCATAGGACGGTCTTAAACCATCAATCTTAATTTTTAACTTCTTTTTGTCATAGGCTAGAGCCTAGTACAATTTAGGCATGAGCCTAGTATCGAGAATTCTTACGATGGGACTGTATGGGTGGAAGACAAAGCCGAACAAAACGGCACTACTAGTCAGGAGGCTCAAGTTTTATTACAACTTAGTGACACCTAGAAATACGTGACTGTGTAAGATGTATTACGCATAAGGACAAGTCACTAGTCTGTAGATTAATGAGGAGGATCAACTCTTATAAATAGCTGTTAGTAGTAGCTAGAGTTATCTTTTCTCCTCAAATAGTTCATTAAAACGATTTATTAATCACCAACTCGGCTTCTGTTACAGTATCATGCTTCCTGACATGAGTTCAATTAACAGGTTGATAAATATTTTTTTTATACATATTGTATTCAGCTATTGAGCTATGACAAAGGTTGATAAGTATTTTATCGACTTTAAACTAGTTGTCGATTCTGTATATTAGTCTGTAATCACACACACAGAAATAGATTCATGAGATTGCTTAATTAGAGGCTAGGATTGATTCCGATATAATTTGGTAGATGACTTGTCCCAACCATCAGAGGGCTACAACTTCTTTATCTATCTACAGGTAAATCCCCCATATTCCAACCACGCTAGCCATACAGGACGTAGCATGTAAAACCTGATTCGTATCATCATTTTAGGGTCGAGGTTTACCGTGCATATGCTACTCGAGTCGCATGTCTGACTACTATGCGACACGCTCATGTATCAATCTAATAACACACACCAAACCCAAACTTCTCACAACCCTGATGATGACCCCATGAATAATTGGAACAATAGCCTGTAATATAGCACAATTAGGCTAGACATTGTTGATCAGGACCTAATCCGAAAACTGTTTTTTCGCTATGAAGTTTTATGCTGATGGAGTCAGTTAAAATATTGACTAACTTTTATTTAATAATCACTCACTACAATTTTTTCTTCTATCAACCTGAAGAAGAAGACCAATTCATCCTTGTGCCGTTGGAAAGAGTTCAATTTAAGTCGAAAGGTATCTCGATGATAATATCGGTATCTTTGATTTACCTGACATAAGATCGACTGATCTTAAACGCGCAATGTATACAAATCTATTATCACGGCTGTTGAATGGCATTCGTGATGGCATCCGTGATGGCTTTTGCATCCGTGATTTCGATGATAATTTGATTGGCCCAGGAATTTTAGATGGTAAGGCTTTCATGTTATATTTGCCTACATCCGCGTTTGAAGATTGAGCATTCCCACAGGTATTATTGAGCCCGGGAATTACCTTCCTTCGACAGACCAAGACTGGAATTTTCGATCTAAAATTTCTAGTATAAGGCATAATTAGATCTAGACTGTACGTTTCATCCATTGAGTATCCACTAAATGTTTCGTCAGCTATCTGATGAAAGCAACCTATATTATTTGGTTGGGAAACTGACAATGAGCTGGTTTCGTTATCATATGATTGGAGCGATATCTCATCATCTTCGTTCTGCTCTAGGTCTAGTCTTCCGTTGTCTTCTGAATTAGTATAAGATTGGACGACATCCTCGAAAAGTTGAGTTTCAGAGGAGACTGTTGTGCCATCAAGGTGGAATTCTCGATAATATTTAACCAGCTGGCTTAAAAGATTACAATCAGCTGCTAAAATCCTCCTTAATGCTTCATGAGCTCCATTTGTCCTCACAAACTCATCGACATTATCATCAACCCTTGATTGCTGAGCAAAGTAGCTGTTACGTTTTATTGCCCAGTTAGGTGTGTTGGTATCTTTCTCTTGCAAAACTAGCCTTTTGATCTTTTTTCCAAGTCGACTGATGTGACACAAGACCTTATAACAGAAATCCAGTCCATATTGATAGATGTGAACCGCATCAAACCCTATGTAGAGGTCATATGGTGACATCGGTCGTGGTATGCCACTCACAATAGTGGGGTCATTCTGGGTTACAAAATATATGGCAAGCTTAATTGCCATTAGTTCCATATTTTGATATTCAATGGGTGCTGGTAGATCTTCGAGATACTCCGGCCAATAGCGCTTGGGCCAAGCACCTAGATTTGTCGTTACAACAGCGGGGGCATTTACTGGATCAAAGGTAAAGAAATCAAAAGGCGCCCCTGTACCGTAAATGTAAGGTCCATCTGGGGTATCAACCAAAGAGATCGAAGAAGGACGTGGTGAGTCATTGTTACCCATAGCCAATGAGGAGTAGGGAAAATCCATGACCGACTCCATTTTTCTCAAGTACAGAATAAGGTTATCAAAAATATTAATTGGGAGATCAGAGTGTATCAAATGACTGTAGCTAGTAAGAAAAAGAAATCACGACATGAAAGTCTTGAATAGTAGCTTTACCTTCTCTGAATAGTTTATTTGTGATCAAGATATTTTGTTATTTAACCTTGCAAGTAAAATAAAACCAAAAGTGACCCTGAATTTACTGTGGTAATAAATTGCGGATTTTAGATTCAGGTCTTCTAATTATAAAGTCAGTTTGAAATAAGATCTATTAAGATAAGTTCACCATTCACTTTAAGCTACTAGAATTAGTTCTGCCCAAGAACCCGTGGAAAACAGGTATGTTTATAGATAAATAGATAAAAATGGGAGTTGGTATAGAAGCGAATTTAAGTAAGGTTACGAGAACTGATACTTAGTGGCGATCTAAAAGATAATGGCGGATATAGAAAGTTGATTCGATGGTGTTCTGTTTTAGATTAATAAATCTGCTGGACTCAAAGTTATTTATGAGGGTTATTTACTGTGAATTTAGAGTCTCTAGACTATAAGTTATACCAATGCGAGACGAAAGTATTGCGATAATTGCAATTATGGAAGAGATGGATGATAATAAAGATGAGCAAAGTAGGTGTACAGCGGAGTGTTTTAGGTGTTGTGAGCGAGTGTTCGAGTGTTCGAGAAAGAAATCCAAAATAGCATCAAAGTATGATATTTGAGTATGCTTGATTGAGGAGGTATGGTTGTGTGCTGTTCAGCGGGTTTCGAAGGTTTCCATATGATCTGTGTAAGAAAAGAGGAAGAATAAAGGGCCAGGTAAGATAGCCTTAAATACTTAACTTGAAATCTACCTAGTACCAACAGACCTTAGATTTCGAAGAATACTAGCTTTTCACATGTATTAATATTTGCAATACGACAAAACGACAATACGGCAATATGGCAATATGGCAATATGGCAATATGGCAATATGGCAATATGGCAATATGGCAATATGGCAATATGGCAATATGGCAATGTGGCAATACGAGAAATTGGCAATATTGTAAGAAGACAATATTGCTAGATTATCAAAGCTTACATTTCCTCTTTCGTATTAATCGGCTAATAACTTGCTCATTTCCAGCCAAGGAATATATATCTCAATCATATGTCATTACTAACATCAATTCTTCCGAGAAAATCGAAAGAATCACTTAGTGACCGAGCCTGTTGATCTTGAAATTGATACTGAATAAAATTTCCATCTATCTCGAGCGAGTCAATCTTAAAAATCCTGCCGTGCTGTGTGTGCTAGGCGAAGATGCTTTCAAAATATTAGTCAAACTACAATGATTTGTATTTCGTGATATGCCATAACTCGTTATTCGCTATACCCCATGCATTAAGAGCCAGATTTGACTGCTATGAATGAGTCTAACTTAACTTTTCTGGCTATTTGTCATGGCATCGATTTCCATTCGCTCTTTCGTATTCGACAAAACATGTTAGCTCGGAATTTGAACGCTAGCTAGTTTACTTGATTCTAAAGATACTCATGATGATTCGCCATCCGTGCCTTCCACATTCAGATGCTAGTATCATTATAGCTCTATAGTAATAATTCTCCGTTGTAATATTGTTTGAGAAAGACCAATCAGAACCTAGTTATCTTGGTATTGACTTTCATCATACTCTTTGAGTTTTATTTCAAAGACAATTGTTAGAATAAAGTTTCATCAACATAGCTTTCAATCTACAGATAAATAATCTTACAACAATTATTTTGAAGTTTGTTTGGCGAGTTCGACGCTAATAATTTTGAGTGGCCCATTTTATCTGTCACAAACTCTTGCAAACTTGAAATTTAAAAGGCATGCTGGAGTTCTCGAAAGTAAAGTTCCAAAACAATTCAGATACATCATCCTGATCTTAAATGGCTGGAAGGGCAGAAATTGATCTTGGTTTTCTGGTCGTACCTTTCGAGACCCAGTAGTTGACATATCTGATTCAATTTTGAAGAATCTACTTGTTTCAGTAGCATAAAGATGACAGGCGATTTGTTGCAAGTAAATTTCTAGTCCCTCACTAATTTCTAGACAGAGATATTTTGAATTACAATATTGGCGGAGATGATCCGTAGTCTTTCAGTCAGCGTAGCTTTTAGCTTACATTAGCATCAATTTGCTGAAATTTCACGCTTATTTTAAAGTATCATCAATAGTTATCTGAATAGTAAAGATTGTGGATGGCGTTCCAATCTTTTTTCCACGTGTAAGGATGTTGAATTATTCACATATCTCATTCGAGGTAGAACATATGGTCTCTATTGTGACGTCTTGGAGATGATTTTTTTCTAGTACAGATTTATATCAAGTCCCGAGTATACTTTCAAATTTCACATCTGGGGTCTTTTGATCTTTAAATAATGGATAGAAACATGACTTCATCCTTCAGATTTGCAATTTACATGCCATGATTTGGCTTTTCATTGATCCAAGATTATTTGTCGTTGGGGATAATATCTTAGACAATTCAGACATTTTGTTGATAACTCTAATCTTATGTCCGTGTTGATTTTGACATTATGGATACTTCTGATCGTCTGAAGTTGTAGGGGTCTTGCTTTAAATACAATTCTTCACAAGCTGTGATAAAAGTGATTTTGGAGTATGTTAGGCTCTTTAATGAAAGGATTATATTTGAAATACTTTCAGATTTCTTTGCTATTTTTGGTAGTGAGCTGTAGGTTTCATATAAATAAAAAGATCGACTTGTGTTGCTACCTTAAATAGCCGACCACCTCTACTTGTCGCAGTTAATATACCTTCTCGGGTTTCTATTTTAGTCTAAGCTTGCAAATGATTTGGAGCTAAATCTTTTCTTGATTATGATCTACAGAGTTAGGTGACCTAGGTTTAGGACGATATTGTTTTCCAAAAGTTGGTCGAAGGTTTTGGCAAATCTGATTTGTTAATTTGTGATGGCTTCACACGTAACCATGGGGGTAATCATTCGTAAAATTCGTTTCATTATCTATAAGTAATAGAATGGCTAATTGATCTCTTATCAATCATTTTGCCTTTTGGTCAGTCGGTGTTGTGGTAAAGCTATTCACACTGCAGCTGTCTCAAAATGACTCTACGGTCTTGAATCGTGGATTAGTTTTCAGATAGTTTTGAAGTTGGTCCTCACTTTCCTCTTCATACTGATATTGACTATTTTGTTGATTACTAGAGTATTATTGTGGAATTCAATATCAATATTGTTTGTGAGACTAGTAGTAAATTGGTGTTTACGGAAAGATGATTGTACGGTTATTAATGCAAATAAATTTTGTTTTGGATAATGCTTATACCTAGTATTTCGTTAAGTTCCAGGGATAATATATAGTGACTACAAATGAGAGCTGCCAAAAATAATACCGTCAATAAAGTTGAATATCAAACTTAGCTAAGATTTGACGTATCATATTCCCAATTGTACTCTGACATTTATTTTATGACTCCTAATTTGATGACATTTTAAATCTGGAGTTTAATTTCATTCAAATCAAGTTACTTCTCAGTTGATGATATTGAAGGAACGTTGAAAGATATTTAAAAAATTTTCAAAGCTCTAGTACCTTTTATTTTTTATCCCTTCCATACTTCATGATTGCTAGTGAGTATCAGTACATGATTTAGAGAGTCGTAATTCTGATGGGAAGATATAAAGCTCGACCGCATTATCTTGTTATCTTTCGTATTTAAAAATTTCCAGTCTAACCAGATTCAAAAACCTTCACTTATTTTCAGGGTTGGTGGTTCTTCGATAAGCCAGACGTGGAATGGACACTTGAATGGCTGAAAATTACCCATGATTTCCGGATGTGGTACATTGCCAACTCTACTTTCATGTTTTTCAAGCAGTCTGTTCTCAAAAATCGGGGAAGGCTAGCGGGTTGAGTTAGTTGTCGTTTTTATAGAAGACTCTCAGTTTAAGCAGTGTATTTCTGATTGGGAAACATCAGTTGTTTAAATCACTCTTTCGGGTGTGTTGATATATTGCTGGTGATTTGTTGAGTAGACGTCTCAATCAAAAACTAGCTCCAGCAAGGGAGATGGATTTCGACAACTCAACGCATAGTACCTCTCCGTTTTTTGCCATGAATTTTCGTATTCTGTTTATTTCTTTTCTTTTTTGCCCTTTCATCATGATGTCCACTCAAATACATACTCTACCGATGATTTATCTGACCAGATCTAAGGTTTTTTCCTGCGATAAGTGGTTCTCACCCATGTCTATGGTATCCCTGTCACAACTCATATTTCCTCAGCTGATGTGAATGGGATAGCCGACTTGTGTCAACAAAATCAATGGCATAGATATCTAGATTCAAAATTTTCATTCGAAATGAAGAAATTTAGCTGTAGCTGAACTCTCGAATGGAGCTCTTCAAAATAATCAAGTACTAGAATCATGAAGAACGGTGTAAGCAGTTGCTACATAGTTTCTTGGTTTCGCAGCATATCCTAGCTTTGAGTCCGTGCGTCAGAGTGCGAAAATTCTGATATTATCTCGAGGCTATAACTGTAGGTTGTGATTACAAATATCAAGATGAAATGTAAAATAACGGAATAGGATAGAATCAAATTTAAGTCCCTGCTGGATCTTTGGCTATAGAGGACTGCTCAAACCGGACAAAATGATACCAAATGTATTTGGTTTTATATGTGCTTTATTTTTAATATTTTTTAATAAATACAGAATTTGTATCACCGTGGGCAATTGGTGTCTGTGGGTATCAAATTTGAACACTTACTGACAATGGTTATCTGTGAAGGTTATACTAGATACGTATCACTGCATTTGATAATACCATCTAATGGGTGATGAGAAGTATGATATTATTTGGATTTTTTGATTTGATTTCATCTAGCCCGTTCAGGTACCCTATGGGCCCATGCAGGTATATCTAGCTATAATATTTACACAG